TTTGAGAATGCATAGAGGTTATCAGGTGTTTTTTTTAGGAAGGTAAATATTTTGTATCAAACATACACATTGTATTAGGCCAGCTTTGACTTTATTTTTTACTAAAACAAATAATGAAATTTGGTACTTTTGTAGTTAGCAGTGGGGCTCAACATGAATCTGTAAATATCTGTCATGCACACATTGTTCAATCTGAAACCCATAACGTTGTGAGTGTGTAGTTTTTATACAATCATAAATCATGTTTCTCTAGGAGAGTTACCTCCCTTATGCCAAGCGTACTGTATGTTTACTCCTTTGCCCTGACACGTCAATTATTCACGCTGTACAAAAGTCCTCACACCATGCTACACGGAAAACAGGTCAACATTCACGCCTGTCACCATGACAACAACTTGGTCCCCTTGATCATTGAGCACGAAAAAATATTTTCATACTGATTTTTACATTTCATATATATGGTTTAAATATATGGTTTCTTTAAATAAAAGGTTTAAATCTATTTTACTCATTACTCGTATCATAGAGTTCGTCCCCCTTTTATCATAGTGCCCGACTAACAAGGAAATGTTTAGTGTACTAATGTACAGTTAGGAATGGTTTAACCTTTAGCCTGCTGAATTGTTTTAGCATAAGGCGCTGTAAAGAGGGTGATAAGGTATCTTTTAAAACTTACAATAATCCAAATTTTAATCATCCACAACTGCCTTTCTCAAACAAACAAATACATAAATAAAGCACGGTATGCAGGGCACGCAATAATGGTACCAATAGTCACAACTATTACTGCAAATATTCTACTTTTGGAAAATTGACATGACTCGCCCAACCGAGAGCCGAGAGCAGCGACCCAGCGCGGCACCCAGTCTAACTAGCTGGTGACAGTAGGCCTTCTCCTAGACTGGTTTGTATCCCCTATTGCGCTTGCGCTCTTCGTCGCGCAGTCTAAGCTGCACCCCGTCTCTCATATCACAATTTAACCTTGACGATGCGCATAATGAGCCTGTAACCAGGTTAGGTGCCAGTTTATCCTGGATGGGAGAGCAGCGACACCAAACGAAGGATGCGAGAAACAGTCCACGCTAGCGCTGTGCAGGAGCTTCCTTTCGCTATTTGAATACAAGGTAGCGCCGGGAACGAGGCATCGCTGTGAGGAGCTGGGATATACAGCTATATTTAGCAGTGTGTTTTTCCAATTGCATCGTGTCTTGACAGGGTGCGGATCTCGTCCATGCATATCCCCATGATAAAACAGTAAGTTAGTGTCGGCGGATTTATGCTTGTCTGTTATCATCACTGTGTAACTATTTATTGTCGGGTTGAATTTGAGAAGGAATAGATCAGTGTGTATATACTCGGACCCCATGGTACCGCGGCATTCATCGTATCGCGGCATTTGTGATTTCCGATAGTTCACGCGGGACACGCCTCTTAGCGGCTGTCTATTAATGCAAATCAGTAACCAGGAAGTGCTCACTTCGTAAACAATTTCAATTTCCTCGGAATGTTCCGTCTGCTGTAAGTAAGGAGTTATTAATCCGTTGATACATATTTCTGGCATCTGTTGTAATATTGCCTTACCCCCATCTATCAATGGCCAACGATATAACCCGCAGTTCCCAAAGTAAACTTTCTCTATCGACCTGAACTAGATCATCTGCATATTCATGGCGACTAATGAGGTGACGGAAGTTACGTAGTCCGCACATTTTTTCCCGCTCGGTGCCCAGAATCTATTGGGAGATCATAAGGGCCATAATGCCAAACTTAGAAATACGTTCTTCACTAGTAACCAAAAGATAAATACATACTTTGGGCATACTAGGAGTGCTTTTTATATATTTATTGTTGACTTTTAATATTTTTCCATTTTGTGACAAATTATTGTCATCCAATTTTTTTTAAACAATCTTAAAATATCATTTCTGATATTTTGATGTTGACTTATCAAAATATTTTTCTCTTACTTTTCGGAAAATATGCATTGAATACCTATTGCTGATAACACATTTAGTTTTTTACTTGTGCTGTCTTTGCACTTGTCTGGACAAATCACTGATGTCTAGCATGATCATACCAAGTGGTTGGTAGAATTATGTCCTCTTTTTGTCCAATTCGGACCTCCATACACAACTTTTCTCTGTACCGCGATACGATGGAGTTCTCTCCCTTGTCAAACAGAGCGCGAGGCCCGCGGGCTTTTACTCAGAGGTACTAATGTTAATAATGAACTTTTATCAGAAAAAAATGCATTGTTTGATAACATGAAGGATATCTGATACAGAGAACACGAATAAACATGAAGGTTAGTGAGTGCATTTTGTTCCGTTTAGCGTACATGACAAGTACCGCGATACCCCGAGGTTGCAGGCTACAGTGTGTTCGTCCCGTTGTTACAGAATGGGGAAATCCAGCATATAACATAAACAAGGAATAGATTTATTTTTACTCACAAAGATCGCTGCTTGTAGATTTATTATACCCCCGGGGGTATATAGATATACAAAGGTCCTGTCCATCCGTCCGTCCGTCCGTCTGTCCGTCCGTCCGTCCGTCCGAAAACTTTGACCGCGCGATTTCTCTGAAACTATTCAGTGGATTCATCTCAAACATACTACCTATAATCTTTGTCAAACGGAGCGGTGCAGTCAAAAGAAAACCAATATTTTTGTTTATTTTCCATTTTTGTATGAATCTTTCCCTAACCCTATCCTAGGTATTTAATTTGAAACTACTGACACACTAGGCGGGTCCGGGGTATTAGTGGGCCACGCTCACTTTTGCCCTTGTTTTTATAATGTCTTACGTGGATTTGTCGTGGTTCTCACGCTTCACTAAAAGATAATGACATTTGATACTTTTGTTGGTAGTAGGGGGGCCTCAAAATGTACTTGTAAATGTCTGTCATGCACACATTGTTCAAATTAAAAAAACATATTGTTATTCCTGATCATGAACCATACCTCTCCAGGAGTATTAACTCCCTAATGCTTACCTTACTGTATGCTTACTCCTTTGGCCTGGCAAAGGCAACAATAACTCTGTGCCTTCGTCCTCTGTAGTGGTGTAGTGGTAGAGCGCCTGCCCTTAGGGTGAAACGTCGGTTGTTCGATCACCTGCCGTGTTATGCCTAAAGACGTTAAAATATGGTACTTGTTGTTACCCTGCCTGGTGCTTGTCATTAAAGAGAATAAAATAAGGACCGGTTGGCTCGGAGGCTGTATATTGTGTCTGAGCGATCAGACCAAAAGAAACAATGACAATATTATAACTAAGAATGTGAGACAACACACTCACAAAATATTTTCTTCAGGTGTTTTTTTTAGGAAGGTAAATATTTTGTATCAAACATACACATTGTATTAGGCCAGCTATGACTTTATTTTTTACTAAAACAAATAATGAAATTTGGTACTTTTGTAGTAAGCAGTGGGGCTCAACATGAATCTGTAAATATCTGTCATGCACACATTGTTCAATTTGAAACCCGTAACGTTGTGAGTGTGTAGTTTTTATACAATCATAAATCATGTTTCTCTAGGAGAGTTACCTCCCTTATGCCAAGCGTACTATATGTTTACTCCTTTACCCTGACACGTCAATTATTCATGCTGTACAAAAGTCCTCACACCATGCTACACGGAAAACAGGTCAACATTCACGCCTGTCACCATGACAACAACTTGGTCCCCTTGATCACTGAGCCTGAAAAAATATTTTCATACTGATTTTTACATTTCATATATATGGTTTAAATATATGGTTTCTTTAAAAAAAAGGTTTAAATCTATTTAACTCATTACTCGTATCATAGAGTTTGCCCGACTAACAAGGAAATGTTTAGTGTACTAATGTACAGTTAGGAATGGTTTAACCTTTAGCCTGCTGAATTGTTTTACCATAAGGCGCTGTAAAGAGGGTAATACGGTACCTTTAAAAACTTACATTTTTCCAAATATTACCACAAGTAGCTTTCTCAAAAGGTAGCGCCGTGAAAGAGGCTTCGCTGCGAGGAGCTTTGATATACAGCTATTTTTAGAAATGTTTTTTTCCAGACTCGATGTTGGTGACTGATTTAACGAAATTTTTGAGGGGGTGTACGGCCGGAAGTCTCACCTTTTGCCATAAGCATTTTATTAAGCCAGCCATGGGTATTTATGGCTACTTTTTTTATTATTTACTGAAACTGTAATGAATTGGGTACTTGAAATGTATCTTTAGGTTTGTTTTTGAGATACAGATACTATTTCATGCTTTTCGTCAAATACCACGTACTCATTAAGTGAAGTTTGAAAACCATAATGTAAAAGCTGTTGTTTTTGTGGCGCACCAGTGGGAAAGTGCACGAATATATGTGCACCACAAAGTGGCATTCATGGCAGAAGATCTGTGACCCACTTCGTCACTAGTTTGTGGTACGATAGTCAAACAAGAACATTACAGACATCATGGTGATATTGTTTTGTAATATGAAAGTTATAGGACATCACGTAGCCAATACCACAAGTTGAAAGTTTGTTTATTCATTTTGTTTTGTTCTGCTTTTACGCTGACAGATAATCCAAGGGAGACAACTTTCAAGGGCGGTAACTATGGATGATACTTGTTCTGTTTTTATGTATTTTCACACTAGTGAAAGTACTGGTTTTTGTTTTCATGACAATGAGACATGACTTTTGACAACCTTAATAACTGCATATGTCACACTCATTTCTATAATAAATGTATTGTTTGCAGTTTTTACTTGCAGAGATTTTACTGAAAGCCGGCACCGATTTGACAAAATATCTATGTGAGCTACAGTGCTGTGGCAGAGAATTCTCATACTTGGTACACTGATACCAAATGTAAGGCTGTCCTCCAGGCAGACACTGTACACGTCAGGACTTTTTTCTTGTAGGATTATGATGAGTTTGATGCCGACTTAGATTGAAGACACTGATGAAAAACAAGAAACAGTGAAGAATGTTCAAAGACTAAATCAGAACGATCAAGGCCAGATGGATGATAGTGACACAGAGTGTGGAGGATGTACACCAGCAGAGTGCCCTGGGAGCCAAAATGATGGGAACACGTCATCAGACGGGGAAAACATTGACCTTGCAGGTATTGCCACGGACAACCCTCAAGGAACAACTGAAGGAGCAGGCAGTACTGCGGAGGATGCAGAAAATAAAGATGTTGATGACGAGACTGCTGACGAATGCTTGATGGATGACATCACAGATGAGGAAGAGGGGGAAGGAATAGAAGACTTGTCACAGCTTGGAGCAGGTAGTGTAGCGGTCAAACTCCAGACTGTTCAACAAGAGTCGTACCAACTTGTAGAGAAAGGTTTGTATGAAGCAATTTCACTTGCTTGTTGAGGATGCTGTTTTAGAATCCCACCATGTCAGTGACTGTTAAAGACAGTTAGGTGCTACCTGAGGAATTGAAGCATATGGACAGGAAAATATTTTTCAATTAATAAGATAGATACTAGTATTTTGGAATCCTACTCAATTACTGAAATTAACATGTGTTTTCCAAAGAGAAACACATCGCACCTGAAGAACAACCATAGTAAGGTGTATCTGCCAGATAGTCCTGTTACTACACTTTGTATCACAACGAGGGGCGGTCGGGAAGCCTAGTGGTTAAAGCGTTTGATCGTCAGGCCGAAGACCAAGGTTCAATTCCCGACATGGGTGCAATTTGTGAAGCCAATTTCTAGTGTCCCCCACCTTGATATTGCTTGAATATTGCTAAAAGTGATGTAAAACCATACTCCGCCACTGACTGTATCACAACGTATTCAGTGTATTTACTACTGCATTAACATTTTCAAGTACTTACAATAGTGTGCATATTAGTTTCGACAAAATCGTGTGGTGCCTTGCACAATCCTTTATCCAAATGTTTAACTAACTATAACTGTTTGTCAGCACGGCTAGGGTGGTGAAAATAAACTTATTTGGTATGGAGCTACAGCTGCAAAACCAGGTTTTGTTAAATGAGTCTAAATATGTTTTACTTAAAAACACCTTGTAACAATGTAATTTTAATGGCAGACAATGTCTTTTGCAGCAGTATTTTGTTTGAAATTGAATCGGATATAATTTATATTTTAGATGTATTTTTCAAATAGCTTGCGATCCAACTGTGACATGCTTGTTCCTTCGTAGATACCACGACACTAGCACAACACATTGTGGGATGTTGTCAACAACCACAGGGAGAAATAGCGTCAACACCACAGCAGGGGACACAACTCCAACCAGCTTCAGATAGTGATGTTGATCAGACAACAAGCCAGGCACAATTGTCCTCAACTACATCTTGTGTAGTTGCTCACACAACCAGTCCACAGGACCCGACAACAGCAGCCATGACACCAGCGTCCACATCATCCCTTCTACCCAGAATACCAGGATCTGTTGTATCAGAGATACAGTCATCCGGGCTACCTGTGGTACCAGTGACTGGTGATTCTTCTGTAGGTGAGTGCAGATAAACATGGACATGACTAATTGCTCAAATATCTAATACCTATAACATGGTGTTTTCAAATGACTTTGCTTTTTTAAGCTAATAGGCTATGACAGTATTTCCTTAATTATTTTACAGGGATGGCATTAACCCTATACAACCACTATACAAGGTCTAGCTCTGCTCAATTGCAGGTTTTCCACTTTTGAGAACAACCGAAACAAGAAAGTCACCATTTACGAAAATAAGAAGAGGTTATCACGCGAGTGTGTTTGAGGATGGTAAATATTCTGCATTAGGGATATACATTGTATTTATCGAGCCTTGGCGAGCTAAATACATAGTGTTTATTCCTAATACAGGATATTGACCATCCACAAGCGTGATAACCTCTTTATCATATTATGTCATTCTTTAATTCTGTGCTTGAAAACTGCTTTCCCTGTCTCACAAGCATTATAGAAACATTGCGAGTTTTCCTGAAATGCGAGCATTAATATTTATTGAGTCACAGGGTAAGTGATGTGACAGTCGGACAGCGACAGTAGTTAATATAGTTCCAACTGAAATCTGTTCTTATACAGTGGCGAAGCAACATATACGCAAAACAACAATTGTTTTTACTTGCCTTTCGCGGCAATCCATCGGTCTGTCCGCTAGAGTAACTGCCCTTTGTCAAAGGGAAGCTACTCTAACCCTAGTCTATTAGACGTCACGCCCACGTTTAGACGTTGTTGACAGTCGGCCTATCCTGTCATAACGTTAAGAAGTACAGTCAGATGTACACACAGCGACAAAACGAAACAAGGTAACAATCCAAACATAGTTCGGCCAAATCCAACTATTTTAATTTGTGGAAAAGGTTTCAAGCTGCAGAGGCCTACAAGCACAGATATGGCTACTGATCCCGCTTGGCTAGGCCTAGTGCCCTCGCAAAGTTGTTTGGAAATTTATATCTCCAAAGTTACCAAAAGATGCCTTAGCTACGTTACAGTTAGACACTGATTTTCAGTTTATTAGACTGATCTTTTGATAATGAGTGCAGTTATCCCTGTAGTTTATCCAGATGCCCAATGGTTAATTCTGACTCGATCGCCGAATGACAAGGGCGACGCCATGTTTGTCCCTACCTGACCTTTGATATTTGCATCTCTACTCACACATGACCCCAACGGATATCGTTTTTATCCGTTGGCTTTATCCTGCCGAGAAACCTACCCATTATATGATAAAACAACTTATATGCCGTAGCAGTTCGATGTCTGTTTATGACAGTTGTCAGTTTTCAGTATCATAAGAGATATCTAAGTTCAAATATGGAAAACAACCCTGAAGGCTTAGGTTATATGGTTTCTGTTACAGTCGCCCAGTACAACCTTATCCAAGTACGGCAGCAGTTTGGAGATGTGACAGTCCAGGGCGCCAAGAATCTGAACATTGGCGGAACGCAGAACATTGGTACACCTCAGACCAACCCAGAGGAAGAGGAGAAGCCACTGACTGCTGCACAGAAGATCAGGAGTAAGTTAGCTGCTCTACTTGTTCTCACAAGGATCGATCAGCTGAAGGCGTTTTCTAGTAAATGCTGACTGTAATAATCTTCATATTCGTTACAACTGTCACCTCGTGTACATAGTTTAAGTGTTCATGACTACAATTAACTTTGCGTTTTGTAAGCAAGTGATAAACCTAGTAAAGCCACTGAAGTATTATTTCTTGATCTCTGTTACATTTTACATAATGTTACATCACTACAGGACTATATACAAACTGTAGTGTGTCCATAGGATTTGTTCGTCTAAATCACTCAGATCAAATGTAAGGTCGTGTCTAGTGATACAACATACCCAGTAGATTTGATACAACATATATGGCAACTCCTAAGTACCTGGTGGATACAATCAACAAATATATAAGAATCAGAATTTCTGTTTAGATTGGAAAAGTGAAAACAAGGTAATTTGGCCCAGACGTTTATCTTAGGCTTCAGGTATATTAGTGATCGGATATCAGTCAATGATCCTTTCACTGATTTAGCCACCTGAACTACAAATAAGGGAGACCAGTCAGACCGCCTGGGCTGTTTTTCGTATTTAGATCTGTGAATGAAGATGCTGAGTGAAACAACACCTCTCCATAAGACTGTACGACAAGGGGAGTGACTTCAACTTTCAATAGTAAAATGTCTCTTTATGCCAAGCAGGATACTTACCCTCACCTACTTGCAAGGACCTGGTATCATCACTATTTGATAGTGATCATAAACAGGTGCTTATGATATTTAGACAGAATGATTCAGTGGACTGTTTCTTATGAATATCGAAATGGTTTTGTCACTTTAATTCTATACTTTGGTATTCTGGCTGCTTCGTTCATATGAACATTCTGTTATGATCCACAAGCACAGCAGGCACTATTCAAACATTACTTAAACTGTCTGTCTGTTCAGAACAAATAACTTGCAGACCAATATCGAAAAACATAGAAATGCTTTGAAAAGCAGTGTTTCAATTTAAACAATTTGAAGGTGGCACATTCGATTCAAGAGGTTTTGTGCAAACTATTGATTGTATATCGACAATATTCAACATTCACGGGATGTATTTAGTATTGTCCAACCTCTCAGTGAAATAATGTAATATGTTACTGATTTTTTTACAGTCCTTGTTGACAGAATTATATTTCATAGAAAATTTGTAAACATTGTAGTCACGATATGGATGAAGTTTTGTTAAAATGTTAACTCACTATCTCACTGACACATTTCAAAATAAGGGATCTCAGAGTCAAACTGTATGTGATTGATAACTTTATTCCTTTAATCGAGGTCAAATTTAAATATGGCAGACTGTATACTTTTACACATATTTTTATATAGTTTTATATATATATATCAAATGTGCCTTGCTTTCACAGAAAGAACGGAATCTAGGATTCAGTCAATGACTAAAGACATGGTGGAGACAGAAGCCCTCCAGATAGTGACGGAGAAGCTGGACAGAGGAGCAACGTGGGTGACAATTAAAGGAAGGCCAGGAGAGGGGAAGTCTACAATAGCCTACATGGCCCTCAAAGATCAGCATACTCAGGGGAGACAAGTGTATCAGGTGGTGTCACCAGAAGAGTTCAATGAGGTCATAACGGCCAGCACAAACCCTGTCATTATGTTAGATGACATATTTGGTGATCTAGAATTTGATGTAGCAGAATGGGCCAAGTGGAGGCCAAGTCTACGACCTTTTGTGGATATGAAGGATACAGACAAAACCACTGAAAAAGACTCTATAGATAAATCCACTAAAAGCAAAAAAGAGAGAACAAAGGATGAGCAAACAATTCTAAAGAGAACAGCACCAAACAAAGGCAAAACGATCATTATCCTCATAGGCCGTGACTATGTGCTGAAATCCTCACTGGCAGACTTGGGAAGGGTGGCAGATTACATATCTAGTCCCCAGTATGTGGTGGAAGTTTCCTCGCAGAGAGACTCTAATGAACGAAGGAAAATATGGCATGTTCATGCCAAAACAAAAAACATAGACTTTGATGAGTCAACCGTGTCTCGGATATGTCAAACTGACTGTCCACACGGCTTTCCCCACGTGTGTAAAATGTTTGTCACAACATATGAAAAGGATCAGACTCAGCTTCCAGTAGATAAGTTTTTTCAAGCGCCTCTAGCATTCCTCAAACAGACCCTAGATAAATTCCTTAAAGATGAGATAAAGGTTTCCCTGTTCAAGGCTATGATTAAAAGTGATGGAAAGATTAGTGGACAAGAGTTGGAAGAGCAGGATGCCCATGGATACAAATACATAACAGCTGCTGATGATTTAGTTGGATCTTACCTCAAGAAGGAAGATGACACATACATGTTTGACCATCCCTCTCTATATGACTGTGTCGCTTTAATTCTCAGTACAAAACAATCAAAGTTTGTCATCGATTTTTGTAGTTTGTCATTCATCCATCAGCGACTTCGTCTTAAAGCCTCCACAAGACCAGGGGAAAACGTTCCTGGTGAGACAGATCTTGTTGCAAACATCTCATGGAACTATGCTAAACATCTAGCAAGAAGATTTGCAACTGAAATTTCAAGGAGCAATTTGTTGCATGTCTTATCGCACCAGGCATGTTGTAATCCAGAGTTTATTGACTTGCTAATGGTCTGCCTGAAGACACAGTGTCACATGTCTGTTTCTGATATTCTCAAACTAGCTGATAACTCTTCAAAACAGACATTTTGTGAATTAATTTCTAGCAGCAAGTCACATCATCTCATCAAATTTATTATTGAGAAAGAACACAGAACATTCAGCCAGCGTGAACTGAGATACATTTTACTTGGGGTGTGCATGAATGCTGCTTGCAGTGTACTGACCTATATCAGTGAACACCATCAGCTTGAGATAGATGCTAGATATGTTTGGGGATGGAAAACACCGCTTATGTTAGCAGCAGAAACCAAAGACACTGTGTTCGTTAATCAAATTCTGGCCCTTAAGCCTAACCTGAATGCAAGAGACAATCACGGTCAAACTGTCCTTCAATACCTTTGCGCATATGGCCTTACATCAGCTGTGAAACATGCAATTAACATGGGCGTGGATGTTAATGAGCAGAATGTACCATTTTTTGGTCCTTACCCGCAAACCCCTCTGTATCGTGCCATAACAAATGGTCATGTTGAGGTGGTGGGACTGCTGCTGCAAAAAGGATGTGATATAGATAAACAGAGAGGTCTTAAATGTGCATTGAAGAGCCAGAACACGCATATGACGCGTTTTCTTTTAGACAGAGGAGCACAGGTTGGTGGTGATGCTTTGCACACTGCTTGTCTGTTGAACAATTTGTCTATCATCAAGATGTTGTTTGAGGAGGGTGCTAAAGTTGACATGATTTCATCTGCAGGGGATACTCCTCTTCACGGTGCATGTGACACTAATGTTGTCTCGTTTTTGTTGGAGAACGGAGCTAACGTGAATGTCATGAATAAAAGGGGTGAGACACCACTTCATGGAGCAGCAAGGAATGGATATACAGAGTGTGTTGATCTGTTACTGAAGGCTGGAGCTAATGTGAATGTACAGAATAATGCAGGTGACACACCACTTCATAACGCAGCAGCAGCAGCAGAAGGCTTGGGATCTGCAGGGTGTGTTAATGTGTTACTGAAGGCTGGAGCTAATGTGAATTTACAGAACAAAACAGGTGATACACCACTTCAAAAAGCAGCAGCAAGGAATAGATCTACAGAGTGTGTGGATGTGTTACTGAAGGCTGGAGCTTATGTGAATGTACAAAACAATACAGGTGTCACACCACTTCATACAGCAGCAGGAAAGGCATGGTATGGATTTATAGGGTGTGTTGATGCGTTACTGAAGGCTGGAGCTAATGTGAATGTACAGACCAAAACAGGGTACACACCACTTTATGCAGCAGCAGCAACGGCAGCAATAAATGGATCTACACAGTGTGTTGAGGTGTTACTGAAGGCTGGAGCTAATGTGAATGTACAGAACAATACAAGTGAAACACCACTTTATGCAGCAGCATGGTGTGGATATACAGCGTGTGTTGATGTGTTACTGAAGGCTGGAGCTGATGTGAATGTACAGAATAATACAGGTGACACACCACTTCATAAAGTAGTAGCAGTAGTAGCAACAAGGGGTGGATCTACAGAGTGTGTTGATGTGTTACTGAAGGCTGGAGCTAATGTGAATGTACAGAATAATACAGGTGACACACCACTTCATAAAGCAGTAGCAGTAGTAGCAGCAAGTGTTGGATCTACAGAGTGTGTTGATGTGTTACTGAAGGCTGGAGCAAATATGAATGTAAAGAATAATACAGGTGACACACCACTTCATAAAGCAGTAGCAGCAGGAGCAGCAGCATGGAATGGATCTACAGAGTGTGTTGATGTGTTACTGAAGGCTGGACCTGATGTGAATGTCCAGAATAATGCAGGTGACACACCACTTCATAAAGCAGCAGCAGCAACAAGGGATCGATCTGCAGAGTGTGTTGATGTGTTACTGAAGGCTGGAGCTGATACGAATGTACAGAATAATACAGGTGACACACCACTTCATACAGCAGCAGTTGCAGCAGCGAGATATGGATCTACAGGGAGTGTTGATGCGTTACTAAAGGCTGGAGCTTCTGTGAATGTACAGAACAATACAGGTGACACACCACTTCATAAAGCAGCATGGTATGGATCAACAGAGTGTGTTGGTGCGTTACTGAAGGCTGGAGCTATTGTGAATGCACAGAACAATACAGGTGACACACCACTTCATACAGCAGCAGCAGCAGCAGCAGGGGATGGATCTACAGGGAGTATTGATGCGTTACTGAAGGCTGGAGCTTATGTGAATGTACAGAATAATACAGGGAACACACCACTTCATAAAGCAGCAGGAGCAGCAAGGTATGGATCTACTGGGAGTGTTGATGTGTTACTGAAGGCTGGAGCTTATGTGAATGTACAGAACAATACAGGTGACACACCACTTCATACAGCAGCATGGCATGGGTCAACAGAGAGGGTTGGTGCGTTACTGAAGGCTGGAGCTAGTGTAAATGTACAGAACAATATAGGTGACACACCACTCCATGCAGCAGCAGCAGCAGAAGGGTGGAGATCTACAGAGTGTGTTAATGTGTTACTGACAGCTGGAGCTGATGTGAATTTACAGAACAGTACGGGTCACGCACCAGTATTTCATTGACCAGGACATCCAAAACCTTATTAGAGATATGCCACTGTTATTAGAAATAATTGGTAATAATATATATTATTCCAGTGTCATTGCTGAGCGAAGGTTATGGATGTCGTACAGTTGGTGACATTAGCAAGCTCTTCTCCCTTATTCCTTTGTCTCACTTCGTTACTGTTGGTGTGAGGGGTTTGTGCCGTTGATGGATGGTTTTTTTTGGTTTAACACCGCACTCAGCAATATCCAAGCTTTTTGATGGCTGTCTGTAAATAATCGAGACTTGATCAGACATTATAGTGATTGACATCATGAGCATCGATCTTCGCAACGGGCGATCTTGTTTAATTCATCTTCCCTTCACTCACCCGGCTGGTGCACTGACTTGGACGGTCCAACCTTAAACTGACGGCGTATGTGGTACGAGCAGTACATGTTAATATCACACCTGTAGACAGTTGACCAGTATAGCCTTCATCTCTAGCGGCAACGGTCACGCTGGTGAAAAGACAGTATTTCTTTTCGCCTAAACAAAGATCTATAGTCATGTCCGGAAATAGATGTTCACGATTCACCGGTACATTAGGGATGATCAAGACTGGTTATATCATATAGTTAACCACTATCAGAGATCAGCTGATCGTTCATTCCACGTCGCTTTGTTGGTGCTTTTCAATCGGTACTGAAAGTGATTGCCTTTGATGTTTGAATATCACACTTTTAAAATTGAAGTAGATTTTCATTGTAAGCATACCCATATCTATGTTGTAGTATCGCCAATCACGCTACACCATATGCATGCATTTCAGTACAGTGGTAAGGTGATGGGGAACGCGAAAATCAAAATTCATCTATGAAATCAAAATCAAATTGTTGCTATATATGCATGCAACAATCTTTTTTCTGACAACTTCAATAAACTTGATTTGTATATACAAAAAAAATTCCCTTTGTTTTCATTTATGTTCCACTCCTGACAGCCATGTTAAGTTATAGTTAGCCTGTGATGTATCGCACCTTTTCCTTTTAACCGTTACTACAGCATAGTGACAAAAGTTATTTCCCATTGGTCGTTAATTGACTTTGTTTAAATTGATTTGCCAGAATGGCTGATTAGATTTGTACTAGTTTAGTACATAACTTTGTCCAAAATAACTCAATGTTGTATAAACAAAGTGGGTGTGGCTTTACAGCTGATTTACAGGTAAATTTTAGAAGTTGTCTTCCCATACAGATGGAGTTGAAATGAGGTTTAACGTCACGTGCAAGATTATTGCAGATATATAGCGATGTACATGCACGAGTGTGTGTGTGTGTGTTTGTATGGCTGCTTGTACTAGTCTTGACTGATGCCGATTTATAGTGCTAGTTCACTGAGATACCATGCCGCAGTTTAACATTTATAACCCATTCAGACACAGTATACTGACTCAGAGCCGAGCAGTCCTTGTTTTAGCCCCTTAATGACGAGCGCAAGACAGGGTAACAACAAGTAACGTCTATTAACGTCTTTTGGTATGATGCGGCCGGGGATCGAACCCCGGACCTTCCGCTCCCCGGGCGGACGCTCTACCACTAGGCGACGGAGGCAGTCATTTTCACCGCCTTTGATACTCGGTATTGTATAGATGGAGTGGGGCCCGAGGGGAGAAAGTGAATCCAAACTTGGAATCTATATAGACTTATGCTTGACATCATAGCACAAATTCATTCATGTTTCGAAAATCTGCCTCGGAGTCTGTTTCCATCCCTGGTGACCGGCTCGAAAAGGTCTTTGGGTCATAATTACCTAAAAGATTGTCATCCCCATCGTATATACATACCCAAGCTAAACGTTAGACAATACATCCGTGCTTCCAGGACTGGCCCTTCTGTTCATCTGTCCGGCACTCCCAAAGGAGTTACATCCAGTGTGCTTTGACAATCATTGGATGATTGTAATACAGATAGAGCTCATTCTTAATTTCATCAGTCGTCTAAGGCGCTGCGATTCGCTGTGCAGAGTTGCGTTCCTTGGTAACTGCTAACGGCAGTGACGCTAATTGACCTCCCCTCTCACTGCCTCTCACTCACTTGATGATTCGACAAATATGTTTAGTGTAATCAGACAGGCACATGTTTCCCTGCAAGCCAGTATTTGTTTTGCACGTGCAATACGCTATTTGATTGTTTGTCATCGTACCCGACGGCGTCAATCGCTATTCATAAAATCAATCACCGGATTGTCTGGTCAATGGTGTTGATTGCGTCTTGTTTTGGGTGAGTGAGTGAGTTTGGTTTAACGCTGCTTTTGACGCATTTATGTTGTATAACGGCGTGTCATCTTGAGATCGTGAAATAAGTGATGGAAATATTCGGCGCTTACCACTTTTGGGGAACTAAAAGAGCATAGCTACGGTACTGACAAACCTAGAAACATAATCATGGTGAACGGGAGATTACCTTAACGCCACATGCAGCCATATTCCAGCTATACGGAGACACACGTCAACCAAGTCAGTGAGCCTGACCACCCGATCCCGTTAATCGCCTCTTACGTCAAACATGGGTTGCTGGAGACTTATTCTTTTTGTTTTTTCCTGCCTTTACGGACCTGTGATGAATGGAAATAACTGATGTGAACCCTCTGAGTTTTTATGACAAATGCACAGACAGGTCGTTTTATAGACGGTGACATGTTGCAAACCAAACGGCGAATGATCGACACACGCTTGGAAACCACTTTGCAACCGATCGACAACCAGTCACCGATAAAGCGCCAGTCGATCATAGCCTCATCACTGATCAAACACAACTGGGTTGCAAAGAGTGAACACTGTTGTGCACATGAAACCGCTCACCGCATAGTGGAAACCAATCTGCGATTAAAATAACACCACTTGGGGAACTCTAGGACACCAATGACTCCTCCTAGCAACCAAATAGGTCGCAGCATGTTGTGCATGTTCAAAGGACTGGTTGCGACCGAATGGGTTTTGCGACCGCTCTGAAACCTTTCAGAGACCCCCGAAACCTCATTGCGATCGTCAAATATTTTGGTCGCCAAGAGGTTGCATCGCGGTCGCATTGTCTGTGTGACTGAGGTTTCACTGTGGTTGAGTAAATGTTTCACCTGACAAAATAGGGAAACATATGGTATATGTCAAAATAGGGATTTTTTTCCGACAGCATTTTGTCACAGATGCGTCATATTTGGAAATATCCTCCACATGTCTACCGTAAGACGTTTAAGAAACATATTCTTTTTGCAACACAGTGGTGGCAGTTTTAGTGTCCCGGCCCAAACATTTCCTTTGTATAAGGAGCTGACCTTCTACATAAACATCAAGGGACAATCCATTGGTCATCCACAGCAACAGAAACGCAACAATATTTAGAGAATTCATAATTTAATGAAGAACAATAGATGAAATACATTGTTGTGTACATATTGAAACTTTTGCATCTAGATCAGGAGTATCTACATTTCATTTTTGTCTGTTTGTTTCTACTAGAAATGCAAATACATTTAAATTGTCAAATTGTCATGACATGATGTATATTACTGATTGATTCTTTTGTATTGAACGTCGTGCTATGCTATTCCATTCCTTTTGTATTTTATACTACTACTGCCACTGTGGTTATTACCACTGTTATTACAATACCTCTAATACATGTCAAGCATCATATTAGTTATCCAATAATTATATAATGCGCTGTACAGCTATAAATGATATTGTTTATCTATATGTGTATATGGGCCAATGGCCTTTCATACAATAAAGATTGATTGATTGATATTCAATCTAATAGATTGGATCGTTAACATATATATACTGACCCGCAAAAGAATTGTCACCAGGATAGATATATGAGAAACCTTATCTGTCCAAACACTGTAAATTTTATCTCTGCCTCGTGTCTTTTGATATGAAATATATCAACAGGAGTTGATAAAAGTAGGAAAACTCCGAGGCTTGCCGAGGATCTTTTCCACTTTTATCAACGCGTGTTGATATATTTGATATCAAAAGACACGAGGCAGAGATAAAATTTACAGTGTTTGGACAGATAAGGTTTCTCATATATCTATCCTAGTTGATAAAAGTAGGAAAACTCCGAGGCTTGCCGAGGATCTTTTCCACTTTTATCAACGCGTGTTGATATATTTGATATCAAAAGACACGAGGGTGAGATTAAATTTATCATCCAACATCATTCTTCCAACTTCAGTTTGTAGACAGTAATAAGCAGTGTCTTAAGTGTAAAAAGTACTGCCAACAGCTTCAGTAGCAGAGCCATTAGTGATATCATTTGATTGTGACGTCATGGTAACCAATGACGTCACAATGGCCTGCAAATCATTGTGATGCAATTTCATTGCAGCGATATCTAGTGTAGATATCGCTTGATCTCTCCCAAGCGATATCACCTGTGGGAGCCAGTTATGGATGATAAACATACTTTGAGACATATTAAAAAGATAAAACTTGGCAAAACTGATCATCAAGGATCAAATTCAAGTGCAAAATGTTCTTAAAGTGAAACACAACACTAGTTTATGAGAAAAAGATATCACAAGTCAGTATCTCGTGTGTCCGCCATGTGCATTGATGACTGCCATGCAACGTCGATACATGAAATGGATGAGGCGGTTGATGAAGGCCATAGGCACTTAAGCCCACACTCTGAGGAACGCCTGACACAGTTCAGCGGCAGTTGTCGGCCTTTGTCGGACGTCTTTCAGCCGTCTTTGAATCTCGTCCCACAGGAGCTCAATGGGATTTCAATCGGGACTGAGGGCAGGCAAGTCCATGGTTCCGAAGCCATTCTGCTGGAGGAAGTCTTTTGTTGCTCTTGCAGTGTGGGCACGGCCGTTATCATGCTGAAACTCGGCGACATGCCAAATGAGGTATGGCGTGTGATCGCAAGACCAATGTACCGAGTTGCTGTGACGTCATTGCATCTTCCTGGACCGATGGTCTGGACGACCACAGGGCCGACCCTCTGTGCAAGACCAATTCCACCCCACAGCATGATGCTCGGACCATCCCACGAGTCTCTCTCAACAATTCAAGCATCCGAATAACGTTTCCCATGGCGTCGCCAGGTTCTCTATGCAATCTGCTGTCGAGATAAAGTATCGGCTCTCGTCTGAAGAGAGGACTTTTCTCCACTGCTGCTGGCGCAAATGCTGGTGCTCTGTTGCCCTCTGAAGACGGTCCCGGCGATGACGTGGTGTCAGAATGGGTCCTCGTTGTGGCCTGTCACAGTGGGGGTGTCTGCTTGTCAATCGTCGACGCACGGTGTCCGCACTTATGTGTCGCTGGTGTGTCCCCATGGTTTGTCGAGCAGTTTCCGCAACAGTAACAAAGCGATCTTGAAGATGCTGTCGCACAATCTGACGATCATGTCGTCGGGTGCTGACCCTTGGTCTTCCACTACGTGGTCGATTATCTGTGGTGTTGGTGGTCTGGTACCGTTGCTGGAGCCTTTATATGGTCCTCACGTGGCCTTGAAATGCATTGGCTACTTACCGGGCGGTTTGTCCAGCTTGCAATCGTCCAAGGGCATGGTGTCGCTGATTTCTTTTCAATCTTGGCATGTGGTAGCAATTCAATATCGAATGAATGTTCTCTGATCTGGGTGGATTTTTACAGAGCCAAAAATGGGGGAACGCATGTACATTTCAATTTGCATGGAACTCACGTGCATCGGGTTACCGTTGCCGTGATGCGTTTTGGTGATCGGTTTTATTGTCATCTGCTTTGTTTTTTCGTTTCATTTTCCAAAAAAGGTAATGTCAAATTTTAGAAACTTGGACAAAAATTACCCAGATATTTAAATGTCAACTTTTCATGCAATGTTACAA